ACCCCTTCCTAGATTCTTTGAAACTGGTGAAATGCTGTGGCTAACAGGCTCTCCTTTTTTTCTTTCTTTTTTTTTTCTGTGTGCCTTATTTACTACTTGTTTAATTCTTTTTTTAAAAAAATTTATTAGTGAAACAAACACCATGAGGTACAGTTGTAGACTTACAAATTTTTGTACTTGGATTTCAGTTATACAATGATTGAATACCCATGCTCTCCTTTCTTATCATCGAATTCAAGAGCAGAGTAAATCGCTGGAGGCCTGACCCTGGATTTCAGAGGTCGATCATGTTGAACAACCTGGTTTCAGACATTACCAAATATCCTGAAGATTTGGCATAAATGCTTCTCATTCAAAACAAGTGTTCAAGAATTGACAATATTATTGGGTTCTGACTGAATCGCAGTCAATACCTGCCATTTGGATTTGACTTTGGGAATAACACCAAGTGCCTCAACATCCTGATTGGCTGAGAACGGAGTTAGACATATACTTTGTCATTTCTGGATGTTTATAAAAAAAAATCACTGACCTTAAAACTGAATTCTATGCTCTATGATATAATATGAAAATATTTTAATAATATTTAAGAGATTATATGATAGCTATACTTTTTAAAAATATTTTTTATTTTTATAAGGTACTCCATAATATTTGATTACATTTAATATTTGAACAACAATTCCACCACCATTGAATCTTTCCACCACCGTGTTTTGGATGTTTCCATCCCAAACCCCAACCCCTGCCCCAAAGCAGAACCAAAATAATATATTTTGTGTTGTTTGCTATGGAAAAAACACTGAAGATGCTACCAAAAAGTTTCCTTAGAGGAAAGAGTGTGAAGATTTTTGTACTTCACCCAGAGGCCATTAAGCCCTTCTAGCAGAGATCATAACAACTAACATGTTGTTAAAGGTTGAGCATTCTGTGCTTATAAATATGTGTACATCTGTAAAAATATATTTTCCTTTAAAATTGGTTGTCTCCTGCTTTGAACCCCATCAAATCTGGTGTAGTATTTTTTTTCTTTGCTTTTTGGGTCACACCTGGCGATGCACAGGGGTTACTCCTGGCTCTGCACTCAGGAGTCACTCCTGGCAGTGCTCAGGGGACCATATGGGAATCGAACCCGGGTTGGCCGCGTGCAAGGCAAATGCCCTGCCTGCTGTGCTGTCTCTTCAGCCCCAGTACTCTTGAAGTATGGATGGTGAGTATGAGACCTATACTTTTCATATAGGTAAAATCCTAATGGATTTTAATTATTTTTTTTATTTAAGCACCAGTAGGTACACAGTTACAAAGTCATTCATGATTGGGTTTCAGTCATACAATGTTATACCTCTGTCCTTTCACTAGTGTGCATTTTCAGCCACTGATATTACCAATTTCCCCCCACCCCAGCCTGCCTCTATGACAGACAGTTTTCTTCTCAATTTTTTTTTTATTCTCTGTCACTGTTATTGTAACTGTTCTCCCATTGTTCATCGATTTGCTTAAGTGGGCCCAGTAATGTCTCCATTGTGACACTTGTTACTGTGTTTGTCATATCGAATACATCAGGGGTAGCTTGCCAGGCTCTCCAAGAGGGGTGGAGGAATCGAATTCAGGTCGGCCAGGTTGGCCGCATGCAAGGCAAACGCCCTACCGGTTGTGCTAAAATTTTAAAATTTTATTTAGTCCCCATGAAATTAGAAACTAATTCATAATTGGGGTTCAGACATACGGTGTGTTGGGGCTGGAATGATAGCACAGTGGGTAGGGCGTTTACCTTGCACGTGGCCAACCCGGGTTTGATTTCCAGCATCACATATTGTCCCCTGAGCACTGCCAGGAGTGATTCCTGAGTGCATGAGCCAGGAGTAACCCCTGTGCATCGCCGGGTGTGACGCAAAAAAACAAAAACAAAAACAGACATACAGTGTGTCGACGTGAATCTCTTCATTTTCGTCCACTTCCCTCCACCCACTCCCCCATGCCCCTCTCTGTTCGCCTCCCATTCACTCACTGGTCTGTCTCTAGGCGAGAAGCTTTTTAAATGTTTTGCACTACCACATTTCTTTTTTTTTTGGGGGGGGTCACACCCGGTGATACACAGGGGTTACTCCTGGCTCTGCACTCAGGAATTACTCCTGGAAGCGCTTGGGGAACCCTATGGGATGTTGGGGATCAAACCTCGATTGACTGCATGCAAGGCAAACGCCCTACCCGCTGTGCTATTTGCTCCAGCCCTGCACATTTGATGGGATTTAAAGTAAAAGGCGAAAGATTTATGCGATCTGAAGAGAAACCAGAGTACACATGAAGGTACTGGCACACATGAAGGTACTGGCAGAGGGACAAAGTCACGCGGGTTCCGGGTCCAAGATCTTCAAGCCTACTCGGATTTGGGCCGAGCATCCTCCACCCAGATCCTCCAAATTCCAGTAGGCGGGGGTCACACCCACCAACTGGCCCCCTGGCGCCGTGTGATCCCATCAATAGCCAAGACTCAGAGACTATAAAAACTAGCTCCTGGAACCGTGCGGCTGCATTCGCATTTGCAGCCGCACGACATCCTATTGTGACATCTTATTATCTCATTCCTACCTTGGACAAACTGGCAGGCTACCGAATGTAGCCTGCCCACACGGCAGAGTCTGGCAGACTCCCCGTGGTATACCCTATATGCCAAATACCAGTAACAATGTTGGGACTCATTCTCCTAAAGAGCCTTGAATATAATCTCAGGGCTAGGATGAAGGAGACGTTACTGGGGCCTGCTCGAGGCAATCGACGATTAACAGGATGATTTGTGATTGTGTGATTGTGAAAGTAAAAGGCAATCTTACAGGGAAACATATTTTTATGTATGTATATATATATAAATCTCTATCTATCTATCTATCTATCTATCTATCTATCTATCTATCTATGTGCACACAAGGCTCAACCTTTAACAACATCTTGGTGTTCTCTTATAGAAGGGCTTAATGGCCCCTGGGTGAAATACAACAATCTTCACACTCTTTCCTCTAGGAAAGTTTTTTGTAGCATTTTCAGCGGTTTATTCATAACAAACAATACAAAATATATTATTATCTCCTTTGGGGCAGGGGTTGGGGTTCGGGATGGAAACATCCAAAATATGGCGTTAGGAAGATATAATGGTGGTAGGATTCGTGTTCAAGTACTAAATATAATCAAATATTGTGAAATACTTTACAAAAATTAAACTAAAAAAATGTTTTGCACTGTGGTTTACAGTACTGTTACTGATTCCTCATGGATTTTAAAAGTGTTATGAAACAAATTTTGATTATCAGAGAGCTAATTTCTACTCTTTGCTGTGTAGGCTAATTTAATTTTCTTGAGATTAGGGTTGGCATTACCATCCTTAGTGCTTTCCAGAGACAAGGACTCTCAACCTAAATGTGGAGAAAGCTCTATTTTTATGACAAAATAGGTGAAATCTTTAATTTAATAACCTACAATATGACTGGATATAGAAATACAACATAGTATTACATGTATAATAGAAATAATTGGCAACAATGCTTGCAGTCACCTTCTTTTCATACGAAACCAGATGGACTATTCAGGGAACCACCTATCTGGACTTGTTTGTTGTTGCTTTGGGGGACCGCACCCAGCTGTGCTCAGGTCTTACTGCTGGCTCTACATTCAGGGATCACTCCTGGCAGCTCAGGGGACCACATGGGGTGCTGGAAATAGAACATGGGTCAGCTTCATGCAAGGCAAGTTCCATACTACTGTACTATTGCTCCAGACCTACTGGGAAGCAGCTGATCAGTGTAACTTATATGTGATAATCCTTTAAAATTTCAATGCAAAAAAATTTTAACTTTGGGGGTATAGGGGGTTGGGAGGGATACTGGGACCTGTGGTGATGGAAAATGGGCACTGGTGGAGGGATGGGTGTTTGATCATTGTATAATTGAAACCCAAGCACAAAAATTTGTAAATCTACAACTGTACCTCATGGTGTTTCACTAAAAAAAATTTAAAAATTTAACTAATTAATTAATTAAAAACAATTTAATTTAGCTATTTTAGTGGGGAATAATTTCTAAATTTTTCAACTATCAACAAGCTTTTCCTGATACGTATCTTAAGACAACTTTCCTTCTTTCAGAGTACATATTACCTCACTCCTAGATTCACACCCACAATTCCTCAACAGAAAATTCTCATAACTGCAACTTCTTTTTTAATCAGGTCAAATAAAATAGTTTTTAATTAAAAAAAGAGATACTAGGCGCTATCCTATGTATATTGAAAAATTAAAGACTATAATGAAAACTAAAAAAAATACACAAAACATAACATTAGCAGTAGCATCTGTGGAAGATGACCCTCATTTGCATTTTGCCAAATTAATTTTCAATTTTTCACCTTCCGTCAAGATTCTGTGGTTTACAATGTTATTAATGCTGCTTTCCCTTTTACATAATTTCAACACTACACCCATATCATCAGTATCACCAGTACACCCAACTTCTTCCCCAAGTACTCCAACATCTCTCCTACCCTCCCCCTCTGCTCAGTTGTGTGGATCAGTTCTCTGATGGACTTTTGGGCTTTTGTGACTCATGTGGAGAAAACCTGAACTCAGAAGGAGATATGGATTTGAGTAGAAGGAGTATGAGTGGATTTGGAGATTTGATGAAAGTTTTTTTTTAAAAAAACAATGGAGAAAGAATTCAAAAACAACTCACTGGATTCACTTAAATTCTATTGTCTTGGGAAAAGAGAACATCGGGGAAACTTTCCTTCCTGTCCAGACCATAGTTTCACAGGGGAATCCTGTGCTTAGAGACCAGAGGACCAAGAGGCAAAGGCATCTAATGAGCAGGTAGAGGGAGCTGTAAAAACTTCCCCATCTCCATTGTCTCAGCATGTGGTGACGAGCTGGGAGGAACATGCTTGCTTCTGGTTTATTTTTATTCTTAAATCTGGCTAGGGGAGAAATGCTGTGCTTCTTCCTGTTTGCTTTTCAGGGAAAAGTTCTACATTCTCCATTATACACCATTCAATGAGACTTTCAGACTTCCACATGGAAACTTCCAGGTGAGTTCAGTCACTCATCATGCCCAGTGTCAGAGAGAAAAGGATCCCAGAATATGAACCCATGGTCACCTGAGAGCAAATTCTACTCAGTTCAAGTAGGAGAGGGCTCTGATGACTGGTGTGACTCATGAACTAATATATTTACCTCAGTGGCTTGGTAATACTTATGTATGATTGTATTTAAGTAACCCTTGGATAATCTTTCATACTTTCTTTTAATCTTTCATACTCTTATCATTGAACTGCTACTATATCAATGCTAGGAAAATGTTTAGATCATCAGGTTCAATTGTGGATATGAGCATTAGTACCAGACAATAGAGAGGGGTGGGTGGTGGCTATAGATTCCAGATGTACAATAAAGTACCTGCTATAAAGTCTATCATAGACAATAGATTGAGTTAGACCAACACATCTGACTTGAAACTATTACGTAGAATACTGAGAGCTCTCTCCTCTTTGTTTGACAAACTTGCATCACTTTCATTTCTGCCAACAAATTATCTCCTTTTTTTCCAATTTACAATATTAAATCCCAGCTTTGCAACATGTCTGTCATTTGCTTCCAGAATGATAGGTGCCAAAGACATTTCTTGCTTTGCTTTCAAACGTACTCAGTATCAATAATTTTTAAAAAATTGCTGTTATTTAACGTGCAAAATTTTATATTCAAAGACCTCTCCCTTTTGCTTTCATGGTGCTTAAACCATGTTCCTAACTCAATTAATCTTAAGAAATACAAGGAGAGGGGCTGGAGTGATAGCACAGCGGGTAGGGAGTTTGCCTTGCATGTGGCTGACCGGGTTCGATTCCCAGCATCCCATATGGTCCCCCGAGCACCGACAGGAGTAATTCCTGAGTACATGAGCCAGGAGTAACCCCTGTGCATCACTGGGTGTGACCCAAAAAGCAAAAAAAAAATACAAGGAGAATATTTCATGAAATTGCAGGATGCATGGTAACCAAAGTAATTCCTTGTCAGAAGGTAACTGGGAAGGCTTGTCAAAGAATGAAACACTTGTATAAAATATAATTTCATGAGTGCAACTATAAATAAATGGTAAGTTACAAGTGTTTGAATAATGCTGGTTTATGGGAAAATTTGTCCTGTCATTTCCCTTTTCCTTAGACTTCAACACCATAATATGAAACAAGAAAATGCTTCAGAATTTTCAGGATTTATTCTTATGGGATTTTCAGAGGAACCAGAAATGCAGCCCCTCATCTTTATGTTTTTTCTCTCCATGTACCTGACCGCTGTTTTGGGGAACCTGCTGATCATCCTGGCTGTCAGCTCAGACCCCCACCTCCACACCCCCATGTACTTCTTCCTGTCCAACCTGTCCTTTGTGGACATCTGCTTCACCACCACCACCGTCCCAAAGTTGCTGGTAAACATTCAGATCCACAGCAAAATCATCACCTATGAGGGCTGTATCACACAGTTGTACTTTTTCATAGTCTTTGTGTCCATGGATATCTTACTCCTGACGGTGATGGCCTATGACCGCTTTGTGGCCATCTGCCATCCCCTGCACTACACGGTCATCATGAACCCTCAATTCTGTCGACTGCTGGTTCTTGCATCTTGGATCTCCAGCCCCCTGATTGCGTTGTTACACAGCTTATTGGTGCTGCGATTGTCCTTCTGCACAAACCTAGAAATCCCCAACTTCTTTTGTGAACTCAAACAGATAGTTCAACTTGCCTGTTCTGACACTTTACTCAATAACTTAGGGATGTATATGGCAGCTGTTATATTGGGGGGTGGTTCCCTGATTTGCATCCTTTATTCTTATTCTAAGATCGTTTCCTCCATCCGTGGAATCTCCTCAGCTCAGGGGAAGTATAAAGCCTTTTCCACCTGCGCATCTCACCTCTCTGTGGTCTCCTTGTTTTATCTTACAGTCCTGGTGGAGTATCTTAGCTCTGCAGTGGCAGATAGCTCACAGTTAAGCTCCGTTGGTTCAGTTATTTACACTGTGGTCACCCCCATGCTGAACCCTTTCATCTATAGTCTGCGGAATAATGAGATAAAGAGGGGTCTGAGAGCATTTTTTGTGAATGGAACGAGGAAAAGACAGTTGTCTTAGCTGTGCTATTGCTCCATCCCAGCCAGAAAGAAGGATTCTTAATGTCTGAAGTAAAAGTGTTAGGGACAAATTTGTGATGTTATGACCAGACTGTGGAAATAGGACTCACTCTTTCTATTCACTCCCTAGAATTTCCATTTCTTTGACCACTGTTCTAATTCCTATACCTAAAAGTTCCAATGAACTTTTCCTCTTTCTGAACAAGTTTACATGAATTTCCAACCATGAATATTATATATTTGGAAATTTCCTTTTCGTAATGAGACCAGAGCTTTGCAATGATATTTATAAAAGGAAATAAATCATAAAATATATTTTTATTTCTTCTGAAATATTATCATGATGTTACAACCCAATGCAAAGGACTTCTTAATTTAAAGTCTATTTATATAATTTTACAAAAAAAATCAAATCTGAGACTGTTTATAAGCCCTGTGTATGTTTTGTCTTCTAAGTTTTTTTTTCCTATTAGACTTTTAAGTAATTATATATCTAGTGTGATGTACTTCAATTTTAATCTTCTCATATTGATTGTTCTCTTTCAACTCATTGGCTACAATACCAATCTTAGTCACTCGCTAAGTGTTTATTAAGTACATAATATTCAAAAGGATTTTTCAGTGAATATTATGCATAATTAAACCTAATAAACAAATAAACTTCTGAAAATATGAGTGAGCAAAATTTTACATCATCCATTGTGTAACCATTAAAAAAATTTTTCATCCATGTAGTAGGTTACAGAGATTGATGTCCATGAATAAGGTGAAGCGTGATGCAAGCACATACTTTTTAATTGGATTATTTTCTCTATTTCCTCCTGAAATTTTCTAGTTATTTTCTATTCTAAATATTCTAGTACAAAACACATTACAGGGGGCTGGAGCAATAGCACAGCGGGTAGGGCATTTGCCTTGCACGCAGCCGACCCGGGTTCTTTTCCCAGCATCCCATATGGTCCCCTGCGCACCGCCAGGGGTAATTCCTGAGTACGGAGCCAGGAGGAACGTCTGTGCATTGCGAGGTGTAACCAAAAAGCCAAAAAAAAAAAATCATCACAACTATGCGTTTTGTTCGAAGACAATACCATCTCCTTTTACAGTTTGTACTATCATGATAGGAATTTATTAATGAACAATATTTTTTTATTTTTTGTCTTTATGATCAAACATAAGAAGGTGAAAATCCCTAATTTACCTTATCACTCAGGCTTACTTGGCCTTTTACAAAATAATCACTTTCCCCTTCAGCCTCTCGTCGTCTAAAATAAATCTTAATAAAGACCTCTCGATGGCTATAGAAATAAACTGAAATAGAGTCACTGTGAATGTGGCTTTCAAATAAAACAGCAAATGATAAGGGGCAGCTATTTGTTCTATTTGTCCCTATTCTCTTTACCCTCACCTCCGTTAACTCTTGCTACATATCAAAAAGAGAAAATTATCTTGATCATCAAATTAGTTTGCAGATAGGGACTAGGTAAGTTCTCCTGGTCCTAGTACATTTTTGATGCATAGATATTTTAAGTTAGATCCTGTGATTTACAAATCTGTTAAAGATAACTTTCAACACCACATCCTCCCCCAGAGTCTGTTTTCTTCCACCTTCGTGCCAGCATCTCTTCCCACCCACCTTTTTTTTTCTGCCCTTAGTAAACTCAGTTCTAAGGCTCTGTTGATTTTTACCAATTCTTATTCCCATCCAAGGTGATTTTTTTGTTTCTCATATATCTGAAAGGGAACACTGGATGCATTTTTAATGTTCATACACAATGTCACATTTTCCATAACGCTTGACTGTCATAAGCCAATATGCAATATGTTGAGGATTTAATTTTTATATAAGAATATGTATCTATGATAATTGCTTAATTTTATTTGTACTCTTCCCTTAATGGTTGTTGATAATCTCATTTCTTTGCTTTTATCTTCTCGCCCTACTCAGCGGGCTTCATCTTCCTACACTCATCTCTGTACCACAGGATTTATTTCCCCTTATAAATATATAACAATTATATGAGAGATTAAAAAAAGAATAGAGACTTTAAAAAGTATAGAGTAAAGCATATGTGAGTTGTACAATTACACTGTTGGAATTCAAAAAAAGAAAGATCACTTTTCAGCGCTATGGAATAGATAATGTGTAGCATCTTTTATGAAGTTAATATCTGATATTAGTACCCTTAATGAATCTGTTAAATTAATTACTTGGAGGAGTGATTTTCAAAAAGATCTGCATTACTGCTGCGTTGCATAAATCTGGTATTGAGATACCTCCCAAATTGGTGCCTCCACAAAAAAGAAGGAAAAAAGTTTATGCATAGGGATAAGGGATAAAGTTATGGTAAGTTTATTCAATGCCAGAATAAATGAAGAAATCTTATAGGAGTAATAGCTGTTACCAGAGGGGAGAAGGAGGTGGTTGAGGGGATGGGTTTAGCAGGCTAATATGACATAATTAATGAAACAGGCCTGGGATACTATAGCTTGGTATACACTTACTTTGGGCTGTGAATCTATATCCCTAAGACTTACATAGCCTTAGAAACCAATGCTAAGTCAAAAAAAAAAGAAAGGAAATAAATTTTAACTTCAAAAAATAGCTCAAACCTCAGTGAGCACCATAAGAGTGGAAACACATAATCTGGGGTACAAATCCACAATTAAAACTGGGCATCACATTCAGATATTTGTACAATCCTTGATCATTTTGCAACAAGAATATAACAACAATGTGATAAAAGGGAATTCATGGAGGAATTAAAAATATTTTTAAAAGTCTCCTAACAAAAATATCTGTCAAACAAACTGTCCTCCCTTTGTTCATCGATTTGCTTGAGCAGGCCCAGTAATGTCTCCATTGTGAGACTTCTTGTTACTGTGTTTGGCATATTGAATACTCTCGGTAGCTTGCCAGGCTCTTCGAGAGGGGAGGAGGAATCGAACCCAGCTCAGCTAGGCTGGCTGTGATCCAGGCAAACGGCCTGGAATATTACATTGCAAATTCTGGCCAATGTTTAGAGATAGAGGCAGTGTTTTTTTCTCCAACTGTACTAAATAATTTAAGCAGAATTTATCTCCAAATTCAATTCACAGAGCACACTCATGATTCTTTAGTCAATGTGGACCTTAATACCTCATTCATGATCACATGAATATGTGGACCTTAATGTGGACCTTAATACCTCATTCAGTTCAGGCGCAGATCCAATGCATGAATCAATATGAATTTTCTTAATTTAATTCCCCTCCTTAGTGTAGACAAATATGACGCTTCACTTTCTAATAAGTAGGAGATTTCTTTTCATCTTCCATTAAAAGTTTATTCAGCTCTCTGTGCTATTGCTGTTACCCTAATTCACACACTATGAGATTTTGCCATTTTGAATATATTATCTGTTTATAATGATAAAGATGAACCACACATATCACAGAAAAGAAATTGGCTCAATAAAAAAGTCGTACATATCTTAAATATGTATATGAGTTGCTAACATAATTCATGGATGTGTGTAAACATACATACATACACACACACATATATATATAGATATATTCACACCCTCTTATTTAAAAACAGAAACATTTTGAACAAAAATTATTTCTGCTGTGCTGGATCATTCATCTCAGTGGTGAAGATGGAGGACAATAAAATAACGCGTGAATGATGCTGAGAGCTCAGACATAATCACAATAAGAAAAATCTCAATGAAAAATATAAACTTGCTGTGGGATGGTCAGAGTGTTATAGTCTGGGAAGGATTTTGCATACCTGATAAGGTATAGATCCAGACTACGGCCAGGAAGACTTTTCTAAAAAAGATCAGACCCTACATTTTGAACATAATAAAGAGATGATCCATAAGAAAAGGTAGAGAATCCTGCCTCCTCCCTGATGGGATCACTTAACAGCTAATTGGTCAATTAGTGTGGATTAGATTTCTAGGTACTGGGACCTGAGAGATAATTCAGTCGGTAAGCTGCCTGCGTTGAATGTGGTGCACCCAGATTCAATCCGTGGCATCTATGTATGGCCCCCTGAACCACCAGGAGTTATCCTTAAACACAGTCAGGAGTAAGCCTGGGGCACTACCAGGTGTGGCCCTAAACCAAAATTTTAAAAGGATTTATAAGCATTGGCTAAAGCCATAGTACAGCCAGCAGAGGGTTTGCCTGCGTGTGGCTGACCTGGGCTGGATCCCCGCCATCTCATATGGTCCCCTGAGTACTGCCAGGAGTAATTATTGAGTGCAGAGCCAGGAGTAACCCCTGAGGATTGCTGGGTATGACCCAAAAAGAAAAAAAAGGATTTGTAATTCATGTTAACTCTTATACATGATATCGAAATGCTAACTTTTGTTCTATTTTGTGTATTTCCTTTTGTGATGTGTATGTTTATCTTAAGACTCATTTGCTCTGGAAAACATAATCTGCAATCTGCAAAGTGTTTGACACCAAAAAGATATTACTTTATTTTTACTTTTGGTCAAGTTTGTTTTTATTGTCAGACTGGATACTTGCCTTGCATGCAACCTGGGCTTGACACCGTA